GAGTGTAATATCTATTATAAGCTCATCTTCTAATTATATCAAATTCAATTACTAGTAATGATTATTAGCAGTTGCGCATAGTTGGTATAGTAACATTAGCTAGTTATGTAGAGAACAAGAGGTGTTACAACAGTCTCTTTTTAAGCTTGTAAGTTTCTAAATATGTACAGATGATATCGACGAGTTCTCTCGAGTCAGTGAGTATTAGTATTGATGAAGGTACTGCAACAATTTGGTGTACAATTTTGCATAGCATTATAAATCGGGGTTTTAATGTAGGCGAGTTCAGATTTTGAAGCATGTCTGTAACACAACTGGTATTTTGGACGCGAAAACAAGCATAGCTGTACGATGTTTAACCATCTCAAGTCTGTTGTAATGTTCTGTAATGTGAGTGTTCCAAACTTAGGAATCATACTCTTGTTTTGGACGGATAAGCGAAAGGTATGTTTGTGATTTAATGTTTGTGTTAGATGTTTTAAGATTTCCTTTTAAAAATCTTAGGCTTTTGTTTGCATTTTTTATAACATGGTTTGTATTTTGGGTCTATATCAAATCAGATTTTAGAGTTATTCCGGGGAACTCTTCCTAAGGAACAGATTCTAAAAGTAAGATTGTGGAGAAAAGAATTGTGTTTGATTGGATTTCTCTTGTTTGTTGTGGTGAGAACTGTACATTTGTCTGCATGGAAAGCCATCAGCATGTCTTCTTCCCACTTTGCTGCATCATCAAGATCTTCTTGGAGACTGTCATAATCTTCTTGAGATTTGATAGTTTTGTAATTGATGCTGTCTTCAGCACACAATGTGAGTTTACTGGATTTCAAAGATAATAGTAAGTCGTTTATTTTTACCAGAAAAAGAACAAGATTAAGTATTAGAATAATGAGATATGGTATCAACGTTGAGTATCCACCAGATTCCAAATGGCGTGCATGGTTTGTCATTTGACCTTGAACAATGAGCAAATCCCATACTGTATAGTCAGCTATAAAAAGCCCCGACATGACAAAATATGAAACAATTCAAAGGAGAAAACCAACGGCCAGTCCCATGACTGTTCCTTGATGGACACCAGAAGTTACTGAAGCAATGAAAATATCTTTAATCATGTGTTTGAGTTTATTAGAGGGTCGAATAGATTCCTTATTGTTTAGATAGTAAAACATGACCACACACACATCATCATCTAAGTTCAGCTGGTTTTTTTTTGTTTTTTTTTTATTTGTTTTTTTTTGTTTTTTTTTTTTTATTAATCTATTTTCTTGTTTTTTGTGTTCTATTTTTTTTTTTCTTTTTTTCTCTCTACTACTTTTGTGATAACTTAATTTTTTTGTCCAATTTATACAAATGTTGAAATAATATGTAATGTATGCATGCTCTTATATATTGTATTGTTAAATATGTTAAATGGAGAAGACTTCATAAGTCTGTTTGACTTGTGTCTCATCCAATTTGTGTTTATGCAAATAAAATATGTTTAAACTAAACTGGAGCAACATTTGATGACTTGTTTGTGAAATTTTCAATATGGCATTTTGAAACAGGAACAATTCCAAAGTCAAGGTTGTTTGAAACTTTTATATTACCGATTTTAAATGTAAGATTCTTCGTGAAGATGTCAACTGCTATAATTAATGAAAGGCTTAAGAAAGAATACTGCGACTTGTGGACGGTTGAATGTACAAAATAGCCTCCAAAACTATGCCTTTGTTTAATGTTCGTGGAGTTCATTTACCATGAGCCTACATTTTTGAATATATAATCGCTCTTGTAAATTAATCTAATTATCTTCGTGAATTATTGTTTAGAAATATTTTAGTTACACCTAGCCAGAAAAGTTTGGTGTAATGAAGCAAGGAAGTGGTCATAATCACTCAATTGCTTGTCGACAATCAAAAAGACAAAAATATGCTATGTTTAATTGTGTATTAAATGAATGAAGCGACTATAGCAAGAAACCACTTCCGCTCTAATGTAAAATCTCATAAATATATATATATATATATATATATATAAGTCTAAATTGAAAACAACGTCCAAACCTATGATTGTGTTGGATAAAAATCGCAATTTTTATACGTGTGCATGCAAAACAAATTTCTTGGTAGAGGGGTCTAAATACAGCACAAACAACATTTTCCAAAAGACCAAAAAAGTGAAAAAGCATATTTAAACAAAACGCATTTGACTAACAGGTCGAACAACGGATGTTCTTAAACCCTGCTGACTGCCATTGGCGATTGCCAAATAAACGGATCACAAGATGTAACAAAATGGATCTTTATTAATTTAATACCAAACAGAAAACAATAAACTTGCGGAAAAGATGGTATACCGCAAACATGAGGTGCAAAAATTTGTATACCATATCCGGATTTCGACAATCAATGTCTCTTCAGTGATGTTAGGAATCGAAACGGTATTTGGAAGGCCATATAATTTACCTCAATTTAGGATAGACTCTTGAATTTTGAAGAGTCGAAATAGGATGAACGGATCATATAAACCCGAAGGCAAATATAATACAAGCCCAAACGAAAAAATATAAATAAGTCTAAATTGAAAACAACGTTCAAACCTATGATTGTGTTGGATAAAAATCGCAATTTTTATACGTGTGCATGCAAAACAAATTTCTTGGTAGAGGGGTCTAAATACAGCACAAACAACATTTTCCAAAATATATATATATATATGAATCAAATGTTCTATGATGTAAACAGGATAAAGCATTTGGTTAATACGACGTTATAAACCCCATTTTTTGCAACCGTGGCTTTCAAATATCAATAATCCTGACTTATGAGAGTATTGTCATTTTAAGAATCACCAAATTCTTTGTCGTACTTGTAATAAATGGAAATATGGAAAATATGTCAACTTTTCTGTTTTTGCATTTTGATCTTATATTAACATACTTTTGCTACTACACACTAAATCTATCGTATGAGGGATGCGTAGGTGGCCTGTTGGAAAGTAAAATGTCCACCATTATCCCACATACTATATTTGTAGTGGCATTCCAAATTTCGCCTCCGTCTCATTCTTGTCAACCAACTTTGTAGAACCAACCTATTGGTTTTATTTTTTATTTGTTCACCTCCTGAATGGTTTCGCTTTTAGCAAAATTAGTTTTAACTGTCTCCGCATACCTAGGGCTTTTGTACGTCTTTAGTATAATATAAGGATTTCGATACAATATGATATCGAAAATAGCTTCTTTCAAAAAAGAAAAAATTCATCATTATAGTTTTGGTTTAATATATTATATTTATTAATTTAATGATTACATTAACCAAAACTATAATATCTGTTTGGTTTTAAAATTAGGTAATGGTGGAAATTGGAAAACTAATATATTGGTGACAATACATGTATTTTGTTCCTATAAGGACTTCATATTATATTATCTTAATTCCGTGACTAGTTTGCTTATCATGTCCTTGGCATTATTTAATCGGAGGACTTAGTTTAGTAATCTTGTTAGAATGTCGACCTCATTTGATATTTGGTCCACTAAAAATAAACAGGGTCAGGAAATATAAATATATTAAATAAATTCCCAGCTGATGTATTTTAAAATTTTAACAAACAAAAAAACAACTTATATACGCAGGAAAAGTTGAGGTGAATGTTAATACTTACATAATAGAAAAACAAAGGATATGGGGTATCCATCCATGACACAAAATCAGTACATGCACAGCAAAAAAACACACAATAAGCAAAGGAATGTAGCGCTTGTATTGCTGTTCTTCATCTCAAAGTCACAGTGAGGCCTTCAGCACGTAGCATGCACTTATTATAAAGCTAAAATAGGGCTTGTCTCTCCGTGTTATTCCATTGCTTGCGTCATAGCGTTCCCCATTACTTGGCTCTGATCGTTCCCCGATGGCTTGGCTCTGGTTATTAACTATGATAGTAAATCCAGAATTGAACAACAAGATCGGTGAAGTAAACTAAATTCATTTTACAAGATTTTGTTTTTCCACTTCAGTTACGTTTTGGTTTTCTGTTTAAAGGAATGTATGTTTTTGATTTGCAAACTTCTGATATTGAATGTACCTTAGATATCTGAAAACCACTGTAAAAGCTTAGGCAATGTCAAAAATCGATATTTACGATGGACAAAGCCAGGCTGGATGTCATTTTTTGTGTTATTGCGTTGCTGTCTCATTATCGCATGCACCGATTCTCATTTTATCCATTTAAAAGACAACGCCATCAGACTGTATGCGGTATGATTTATAATGATACAACTTCCATCAGAAACAAATGACGAAGAAGCTAGCAATTGTATGTTCTTCTTCATAACCTGATTACTTTATTAAGTTATATTATTTTCTTTAACTTTTCTTAAATTCTGAAAGAGCGTACACATAATTCAAAGTTTAAGGTTTAATCTATAGCCAAGGTACGTTAACATAATATGTAAGCAATGACACATGTTCAAACTTTGGTATTCTTTCTTTATGTCTTGTGCCCATGACATTACGAACAATTCTGACACAATAAATCGCCCATGTAAAGACCATCACGAATAAAGAAAATAGGCCTCTGTTGAATTCAGTTAACCTTACGTTAGGTCAATGTCATCCAACCATCTAGAAAATGTTTATATATAAATAAATGATGCAGTCTCGCTTTACCACTTTATACATTCATAACACGATGGTTAATATAAGCGTTGTTCTTGTTTTAGTGCTGGCTGTTGGTAAGATCATATCTAGCAAAGTTGTGAAATGGACGGACATTTATACGTATATATCTTTGGCATCAATCCTCAGGCTAAATGTAATGTTATATCAACGAATGTATAACACATATGATATAGAAGCTATGATATAGGTACTATGTGAAAATGTTCTTTTTTTTAAAGTCATTGTTTTGAAATAGAAGTTTCACGGGTTATCATGTTGTGTTGCTTACTGTAGAATTCAAATCAAATTTAGCAGATACTTATATATTTATACTTTATTGAATTAAAATAATTGAAATGTTGTATATATATAATACTGTAATCTCTCTGTTAATATCAGGTTATACTGTTGCCATCGATTGCTTCGGAACAACATGCAACGTGGATCAACAGGTCAGTTATTTATTTAATTTTGTTTTTACGTTTGTTTGAAAATAACCCAAAATTTTGATCAAGGTTTAAACAATAATAAGCCATTAATATATACACTTCTGTCCTTTCAAAATTGAGAGATGGGGAGTTTTAAAAACTAGCAACCTTATGTTTGGTTTTAAAGAAGTTGTTTATTTTAGGTTGAATAGCGCGGCACTTCAGAATTAATCTGTTCCATTCAACTTCTCTAAATTTTTGGGACAAGAAAATCATAATTTTGAACTCTTAATACCTGAGTGCAAACAATTAAAACCAATATAAAAAATAAGGTCACGCTATAAAGCCGAAATCTTTGTATTGCTAGATTATAAATGTTGTATTGTTTTAATTTCAAATGTGTATTATTAAGAAAGACTATTTTTCTCATATTTCGAAAAAAAAACCAACATCCAAATCAAACAGCTTATTTGCATTAAATAGATCCCCAAAATGTACAGAAGACTAGATAGATGCAAAAAAAAAAAAAAAAAAATTAAATGACCATTCAATGTTTTTTATTCAAACATTTTAAATGAATAATTAAAACTCTATAACCAGTTTAGTATTTGATATTTAACGATATCATGATACAATAATTACACTACATAGCGCTTCATTTTTTTGTTTTGACGTTAATCAAGTGGTGTTTTAAAGTGATGTTGCATGTGACAATAAAACGTATCATCCATATGTGCACGTGCCCTCCATGACAACCTTACAACAATGCATACATGGAATACAAACACAACAATGCATACATGGAATACAAACACAACAATGCATACATGGAATACAAACGAACAACTCGATTTAACTCGCATTTTTGTTATCGACAATTTGTGAATTTCCCCCTTGGTCATATTTATAATCAAAATATTAGGTAATGACGTCACGTAATGTTTTAAACAATACAGCAACACCATGGTTTTAAATATGTTCATATAGCAACGTTATGTACGATTAAAAAGATGGATTTTTTTCCTTAAAACTTCTTCATGTTATTCCCTTCCAACTATCATATTGTCAAGACAAATTGTTCAGACTAATTGCCGATAAGAAAGAACTTATTTTTTATACTGACTTCATCAGCTGGAATATCAGACCCTATTTCCATAATTATGAGCTTAAACTGAATAAGCAGAAATATAAGTGTGAAACTAAGATTTGTAATTCCATATAAATGAAACGAGATAAATAATAAACGCTAATCAGACATGTTTATTAACATTTAAAGAGACTATCAAAATAAACACAATTCTAAATTTTTTATGTTAACCTACCGTATTTCGAGCTTACTTTTAATTTAAAACAAACTTTATTCTCTGTAGATAAATATAGAAATTTTAAGAAATCTAAGTATGGGTTTTCTCATTGATGAAGGCCGTACGGTTGTCTGTTATTGCTTACATCCACTTCATTTGACCTTTGGTAGACAGTTCTCTCATTGGCAATCATACCGCATCTCCTTATTTTTATAATGTTCTTCTTCTTCATGCAAAGTAAATTACTTAAAACCTTTACTAGATTCTTCTATAGATATAAAGATTTGGTTTGGAAGTTTGGTTGAAAACTTATTTTAAACAGGATAGCACATCCTAATTTTTACGGAGATGTTGTTTACCGAGCCCGGAAATTTAGATACGATCCGGGTAAACTTATCGATCCTTTAAATAAACTTATTCTAAAAGGTTACCAATTCAACACTATAATTAGATCTTTGAATATTGTTTTATTGGTATTGATATTGATTTTGTTATCAGAAAATTAAAATCAAACTAAATATTATTTTTATATACATATGCACATTCATGGCTCTACAATCTGTCGATACTTGTATCTTGGCATTGCACAAGATCATGTTTTTCTCTGACTATTAATGACGTCTTTACACTAAATCCATTGGATGTTGGATGTACACTGATTGATATTTTAGTCTTAGATGCATGATTTTTTTTATTAGTTGTTATTGTCTTTGAACTAGCTGTCAGTAACTGCGAGTACTCTCAGATCTGTATTTAGCGTCTTTTTGTTTTTGGGATGTATATTTACCCTGCCACGTCCACTCTGTGTTTTTGTTAGATGAATATCTGCTTTGTATCCATCTGATGAGTTCAACCCTTTTTCAACTGACTTTTATAGTTTGGTCTTATGTTGTGCTGTTGTAACACTATCCCAAGTTAGGGGAGGGTTGGCGCCTTCAAACTAGTTTAATAAAATTGAGAGCCTGTAGTTGAGAGGTGGTTGTTGTTTGTTGCTGTTTATCATATTTGTTTTTCGTACATTGTTTTGTATAGTGTGTTCTTGTGTTGTGCTGTTGTACCACTGTCCCAGGTTAGGAGAGGGTTTGGCGCTATCTAACTAGTTTAACCCCGCCATATTCTGTATATGCCTGTCCCAAGTCAAGAGCCTGTAAATCAGGCCGTTAATTTTCTCGTTTGAAATTATCTACATATGTCATTTCGGGGCGTTTTATAGCTGACTATGCGGTATGGGTTTTACTCATTGTTGAAGGCCGTACGGTGACCTATAGTTGTTAATTTTTGTGTCATTTGGTCTCTTGTGTAGAGTTAACTCATTGGCAATCATACCACATCTTCTTATTTTTATATTAAAATGCATTTGGCAATTTTTCAATTTGATCCCTTTTTTTGGTCAAATACCTCTTTAAGTACTTAAAAATATTTATACATCCTTAGCTTTCAATTTTTTTTTATTTAAGCGTATCTGATTAAGGAGAATCCAGAAAAGCGCTTCGGACACACCTACTTTACAAAGAGTTTTTTTTTGGGTGATATAAAGCAGCACAATAGAATGCATTGCAACTATGTGTTCAATTATTAAACACTTTGAACATCTTTACATAGAAATAAATAAAAAAAAAAATCACAGGTTATTTAAAATACCAAACATGTGACAAAACCTACCAGACGTCGTCCATGATTATCTCTTTCTAAGAGTATATTTTCCAATAGCATAACACCATTTTTACAAACTTACTTCATTAGATTAACGATAATCTGCACTAAACATTACAATAGTTTACCACACACACTATTCCTTCCACGAAGTGCTAATACTGAACCACAATTACCACAAAAACATCAGAGTTCACCTTTGATGATAAAAATATTATGATTTCAAAATCATTATTCTAGTTTTTCATCTTATCATTTGTTTTCAGTTTTGCCAGATTATGCTCAAGTCACAGACAGGGCAATGTTATACTCATCATGGACAAGGGGTACGTTTTGATTTTTTAATCATTTTAATAATGGTTGAAAACTACTGTTTTTATTTTATTTTAAACTTAACCCATTATGAAGTGAAAATGGACTAACATTGGACAAACTTGAGAATTAGTTATATAACAATATCGAAATGTAACAAAATAATTTTCTGCAGTTAGGACGGATAAGTCTAATGCAATCCAGCACAAGACGCTAACTCTTTCGACGAACCCGGTTTAGAGTTCATTCGAGTCCCTCATATTTGTTTTTTGGTTTATGTATATAAATAACTCAAAATCGCCCGCATTTAACTGTTCGATAAGAAATACACCTATCTCATGTATATGTATAAATTCTACATTTTTATTTTATTCGAAAAATACCTTAAAAAATGCATGGCTATTTAAATGTAATATGATAAATGATTATAAACATGTTCAATTTGCAATTGTAAATGAAGCTACCAAAAATCGAATAAATATTTTACAATACCAAAACGGTAAGTTTTACACCAAGACACAAGTATCCAATATGAACAATATATTTCCCTCCCTGTTTGCATTTTCAAAGACCATTTATTTTCTGCAAAAATCAATGTCATTTTGATATTGGTTTATTTCGAAATTACAACCGTTGCATAATGCAAAAAGACAATAACGGATTTTAGTCAGTATACTATAATTTCAGCACCACGAAGACCATCAGTCATGCATTGGTGCTCATCACCCTGGGGACCATTGTTTCTGCAAAGATCAAGCTTGTGTATCCCAAATTAGTAAGTTTCAAAACAGAGTAAGGCAGTGTCCTAACTTAATTCTGTTTATGACCCTAATAGTATAAACGAAAATTTTAAATTTTTTATCTAACCTCTAACCGTTGTAAATAATAAGAGAACCGAAGAAAGAAAACGAATCGCTTAAGCACATTTTTTTAAGTCTGAATCCTAGAGATGACAAAATTCAGCACGTAAGAACGCATATGCTACATGTATTTGTACTTCCATCTTGTATAAAGTCATTTATTTTAGTGGAATGAAAATTAGAAAATTTCACATACTTCAACTAAAAAGAACTAAAAAATACTAATATGAAAATATAAACACACATAGTATTTCTAAAAATAAGTTACTTCTTTTTCAGCTAGAGAATGGGCCTCTGGGTCAACGACTTCAGGTGGCTCAATAATGACATCTGATCCTGCAGGCGGATCAAACATGACAACAAATGCTCCAATGACAACTCAGATGCCAATGACTAGTAAGTACAAACATGTACTATAAACGGCTTTTATATGAGATCATGAATATTTATAAGGCCGAAATATATACTATAAACGGATAGAAGCCTTTATGTGAGATAATGAAAATATATAATGTCGAAACATTAAAAGTAACCTCCTCTGAATCAAAAGTGAAATAGGGAGACGTCAAAGAGGACCGCGATTGTTACTTTATTCATTATAAAAATAAAAAGATGTTGTATGATTACCAATGAGAAAACTATCCACCAAAGTTCATATGAAGTGGATGTAGCAATAATTATAGGTAACCGTACGGCCTTCAGCAATGAGACAAATCCATAGTCGGCTTTAAAAGGTCCCGGCATGAAAATATGAAACAATTCAATTAATAAAACTTACGGCCTAATTTATTAAAAATTGTCACGAACTACATATAGATCTGTTTGTTTTGATTTTTTCATGTTTTACAGATATGCTATTTCTATAGGCAAAACCAGTTTTAGTAATTGTAAAAAAAGGATCGGGTTATTTTCAGATTTATATAAATAAAAAAAAATAACAAGAATCACAAAAATATTTGGACAGGACAACAGACCAACATATGCAACTCGCCCCTTAAAAAATAACATCTTAAAGACAAGGACAAACAACAACGAACAATATATGGTCCAGATAGCCTGGTACAGACACATACTATGGTGAATCTAAACCAGTTAAACTAATGTAACTACAGCTGTTCGTTGGATATGACGCTCATGGAAAAAAATCAGCAACAACACTAGATCACAAAATTAGATAGTGCGCATATGTTTCGTAGCTGATTTAAATGAATGATTCTGTTATACTTTATAATATATGTAATGGGCAGTTAGTTCTTCGAAGTTGCTCACGGTAACAACATTGTACATTTTTGTCAAGAATACTTGTATAATTTTTTATTCATTGATGATAAGAGTTTTTAAGATCAAATACATTGAATTTTACAAAAAATATATAATGAAAGTTGTTTTCAGGAATAGTAAGAAGTTACTGTAAACAATTTCATCTGTATCTGACGGTTTTATGTCATTACAAATAACATGCTTTAAATTCGGGCGAGTATAGCGAGAGTGAGTTAAAATTAAAACTATGAATACCTTAGTTATCTTTGGTGGTCGAAATATAGTTCAGCAATAGCACATGACAGTGAAACTATTTTTACTTCATTAATATTATTTACCGTTTATATTTTGTTTACTTCACACATTTATTGCTAGTAATTTTCTTTTAATAGCGTAAATATACAGTAACTGTTACCTCAAGCATAATTGAAGAGGAAGAAAAAGACGGTGCGTGACTATACAAGTGAATAATTAAATGTTTATATATGATAGACTTTTGTTATTCACGTGAACCCATTTCATTTGGCTAAATACTCACTGCATTAAAAAGTGTCCATAAGAAGAATTTGTGTTCGTTTTATGTTAAGGATCATTTCGTGCTTGTATGTCTTTTTGTCTACACCTCAAATATTTAGGTAGTTCAGCACAACTTTCATAAGTATTAAGCAATGAAAGATGAAATTTGGAAAATAAATGACATTGCACGATCTTCAATTTGAATAAGACCAGAATCGTCGATAGGGTAAGCATCGATATATTCATCACACGATTCGAGACCAGTTGTAATCAATCAAAAATACCATTCATAAAAGATATATTATTAAAATATACTTTTTCACTCATTTGGTCTTTTGGAAAATGTTGTTTGTGCTGTATTTAGACCCCTCTATCAAGAAATTTGTTTTGCATGCACACGTATAAAAATTGCGGTTTTTATCCAACGCAATCATAGGTTTGAACGTTGTTTTCAATTTAGACTTGTTTATATTTTTTCGTTTGGGCTTGTATTATATTTGCCTTCGGGTTTATATGATCCGTTCATCCTATTTTGACTCTTTCAAAATTCAAGAGTCTATCCTAAATTGAGGTAAATTATATGGCCTTCCAAATACCGTTTCGATTCCTAACATCACTGAAGAGACATTAATTGTCGAAATCCGGATATGATGTACAAATGTTTGCACCTCATGTTTGCGGTATATCATCTTTTCCGCAAGTTTATTGTTTTCTGTTTGGTAATAAATTAATAATAAGATCTCATTTGTTACATCTTGTGATCCGTTTATTTGGCAATCGCCAATGGCAGTCAGCAGGGTTTAAGAACAGCAGTTGTTCGACCTGCTAGTCAAATGCGTTTTGTTAAAACATACTTTTTCACTCATTTGGTCTTTTGGAAAATGTTGTTTGTGCTGTATTTAGACCCCTCTATCAAGAAATTTGTTTTGCATGCACACGTATAAAAATTGCGGTTTTTATCCAACGCAATCATAGGTTTGAACGTTGTTTTCAATTTAGACGTGTTTATATATATATATATAAATGTCTGAATAATAGCCAACGATAAATCTTACGAGGCGATGGATCATATAATTATGATACAGTACACTACAAAATATAATATATAATAAGCAAGTCTAAAAAGGTTCAACATCACCAAAAAAAAATCAAATCATGAACAAATGTTAAATATTTCGTTTAGTGACAGCCTCCTCAGAGGAGCAAATCCGCTTTACTCTGAGAGCTTGACTGTAAGGGATACTTTTTGTACAGTCTTTGGGGTGACAGCTTTGGGGAGAATATCAACAGACCTCTACTGTAAACCTACAGATAAACAACAATACCTTTCTCCCCAAAGCTGTCACTCCAAACACTGTACAAAAAGTATCCCGTACAGTCAAGCTCTCAGAGTAAAGAATGGGTGACAGTTTTGGGAAGAATATCAACAGACCTCTACATTAAACCTACAGATAAACATCAGTACCTTTCTCCCCAAAGCTGTCACCCCAAAGACTGTACAAAAAGTATCCCGTACCGTCAAGCTCTCAGAGTAAAACGGATTTGCTCCTCTCAGGAGGCTGTCACTAAACGGTTACAGAAACTTCGCGGATTTTTGACCAAACGAGGTTATAAGAAATGGGACATAGATAAGGGGTTTGCGCGTGATAACAATAACAGCCGCAATGACCTATTACAGTACAAACAGAAAAGGCGAAGCGAAACAGTTCCGTTTGTTTTAACATACAATCCCGCCTTTACTAACCTCTCCCGTTTGATCCGTGCCAATTGGCAGATTATTGCCATACATCCAAAATTATCCATGATTTTTCCCAAACCTCCTGTCTTAGCTTTTCGGAGACCAGCAAGTATGCAAGACTTATTTGTGAGAGCTGATGTCTGAATTTATTCCTCCTCTCATACATCAATATTGAAAAAAAATACCAGCGTATTGATTTGTGATAATTTGTATAACGATCAAGATTACTATTACAGTGTGACTACCACATGTCAAGATAAGAATCATTTGACATCTTACTGATGAAGGATGTTAGTTATCCGAAATATTTAACATTTGTTTATGATTTTATTTTTTTTGGTGATGTTGTACCCTTTTAGACTTGCTTATTATATATATATATTTATAAGACATTGTAATCTATAACTTTACTTGTTTGAGACTCTTATTATAAAGCGTATTAATTTGAGAAGGTATTGGTCCAGCAACTCCAGGCCTATAAATACATGAACACACATAGACATATGTGAATAGTTTTTCTCAATAAGATATAAACAATCCTCCTTAAATATTATAAAATTGCCAATCTGTCACAAACTCATAATTGGTCAAACTGTTTACATGAAGCCAATGAATTCATTTTTTTCAATTATAGATAGCTTTTATTTAGAGTTAATGATTAACGACAATGAATGTGCAAGGAATATGACTATTCAACATTTTTTGTTCATTGCTAAAAAGAGTTTACACAATTTTAGTATACCAACATATGTTAATCACTACAATTAATAAGGAATAACTCAGGTTATAACACAAGTTTGTTTTGAAATTCGCCTTTTCATCTCTACTAGTGTGAGTAACATGTCCCGATAGGGTGTTTATTTAACAATATTATTATATAGCAATTACATTTTACAATTCACTGTACACTGTACTAAAAGGCATAGTTGTATATATACATTTGATTTGATAAAGCGATCCCATTTGAAAACTTAGCTAATATAATATTAATCCATTAATAAATAAATTAATTGAATTTTTGGTGAACTTGGATATGCTGAATCTAACCGTGTATTTAGACTTTTGATATTGGACCATAAAAGCTATAAGTCCAATTTCAAAATTTTCAGTTCTTTGACCACATTCATTCTGTGTCAAAAACATATGCTGTGTCAAATATTTAATCACAATCCAAATTGTGAGCTGTATCAAGCTTGAATGTAGTGTCCATACTTGCTCCAACTGTTCAGAATTCGACCTTTGCGGTCGTATCAAGCTGCGTCCTACGGAGCATTTTATTTTTGCTGGCACCCTATTCTCTCTTATACAACTTCTTTTTTACGATAATGAAATTTACACTACTATTCCCCCATGGCCATGCTCAATTGAAATACCGACTACATCGTCTCAATCAACAGAGCTTTTTCTACAAAAATGGGAAACGTAGGTACAATTCGATAAAGGACTTTCCGTTATGAATTTTCCTTTGCAATCGGTATTTTTGTTATTCTAAATAACTCACACTTCAATGAGTGCTTACATCTCATATATCCTAGTGAACTTGAGATTAAGGATACCACCGAAAAAATAAGGTCTGCATCAATTCTTGATCTTTTTCTCGATATTGACACGAATGAACGACTTCAAACTAGAATCTATGACAAACGTGATGATTTCATCTTTCCAATTTTCAATTTTCCATTTCTCAACAGTAACTTACCTATTGCTCCAATGTATATCGTTTTCATACATTATCCTTTAACTTCGCTTTCCGTTATAAAGATCATGTTCTCTAACTTAATAATTAAATAGTTGGTGACTATGTTGAATGCATCTATCCAATCGAGTTTGAAATAAAAGATTCAGCTTTCCATTTGTGAACTTTCATTTCTATGTATGAAGGAGACGCTTACCCTGTCGACGCACCTTTGGAGGTCTTGCAATTCCCACAGTTGACTTGTCTCGTCCTAGTCGATTTACGAGATTTGAACATCGGTAAACTACTGTTGCCTTAATTAATTATCAAACGAAAGTTATACCCTTGCACCTTTACCCATATACAACAAATGTACTACAAAGCTAATATCTAATATCTAATCCAAATTTGCAACTCTTTAATAAACTAGATATACTAATTAAGTGAATACGACGCCACCATAATTTGGTATAATCGTACATGTATAACATTCTTAGGCGTCTGCTCTCTTTATTTTCAATAGAAAGAAAATTTTGGTATCCTTATAATCATTCGTGTAAAACTCGAAATTGACAAACATGTTCTCATTTAGTTAAAATCTAACAGATTAAATCTGTTGAATCTACTTTCAACAAAGCATGCAACAGTCGCAAAGTAACATTTATAAAGATCAAAATTTTCGGCTCGCTGAAAAACCATATGGAATTAGGGAAACACTCACGCATGGTGCAGGCGGGGATATGAAATTGCTTAAATAGATACTCTTAATCGTAAATGAGAAGAAAAAGAATTTACCAATGATAAATACACCTGGAATATACAGAAATGCAGTAAAAAGTTGATCACAGTATAGAACACGCCGATCATCTACATCATACAGATAGGTCATTTTTTACAACAAAGAAGTGCAAAAACGCCAAACATTGAGTACGAAGATCGGGAATTCGTATGTGCCAAATTCCAATTATTTTGACGGAACACTGACAGGAAAAAATATTTCTGATATTCCTGTAATGGTCCTCTATTGGACGGATATGTTGTCTCTGTTGAGACACCTGGACCAGTAGATGCATCAGATCTATGCTTTTGTCGTGTAGATTAATTCCCCGAGGCTGGACGTGCGAACTTGTTTAACTTTAAGTTCGCCAATTCTCAAAGTGTGGTAGAGCCCGTCGTGGATCAATCCAAGGCACAAAAACCGGCAGCCAGGCCACCATAGGCAGTCGCAAATGTTTCAGATTCGGCTACCAAGATGTTGAGGCAAGGACGTCGGCGACAGCCGTAGCCCCCGATCAGTATCAAAGCAGTCCTGATAGTATGAAGACCTTTTGTGGTTCTAACCTACCGGGCGGCGAGTAGGTTGGTGATTGTTACCACTGTAGTCAGCCGCCCTGCACAATAACTGTTTGATCCGGAGGAGTTTAAGGTTATCTTGTTGTATTCGGGAATCGACGTTACAGACTGTGTGAAATTGGAGTTGTTACAGGCAATAGCTAAATTTTCTGTTGAAGTTAGGTGAGCGCAACAGTAATTCGTCCAATCTAAATGTTTTGTAGTGAAACAGGACATTACTGAATGAGTTTTCTCAGGAATAACAAGGCCGATGTAAAAATTGTATA